GTTTAACCGCAGCGCCTCGTCGGACATCCGCTCCATCCTGAGGGACACGGAGAAGACCAGAGGGTTAGCACTAGGGTTGTCAAAAGTATCGATACTAAAATGTTGTTTCCGGATACGATACTCATTTTCCACCGCGCGCCCCTTCTCTCTGATTTATTTATGGATTTATTTACGTTGTTTATGATCATTAACAAGACGTTAGCTGCTAGCTGCGGCTAATGGCTAATAACAACACGCCAACAGTAATCAAGTACATATCCAACTCCCCCACATCCAAGTCGGCCATTTTGATTAGGTCACCAATAGGAAGATCCCAGGCAAGAAAATCTTAATTGCTTCATGGCAATATAGACATTAATTTAACCTCAGCGCCTCGTCGGACATCCACTCCATCCTGAGGGACAAAGGCAGGACCAGAGGGTTAGCACTAGGGTTGTCGAAAGTATCGATACTCGAAAAAGTATCGATACTAAAATGTTGTTTCCGGATACGATACTCATTTTCAAAAGTATTGATACTACCGCGCGCCCCTTCTGTCTGATTTATTTATGTATTTATTTACGTTGTTTATGATCATTAACAAGACGTGAGCCTTGCTAACTGCGGCTAATGGCTAATAATAACATGCTACCCTTAATCAAGTACATATCCAACTCCGCCCAGATCCAAGTCGGCCATTTTGATTAGGTCACCAATAGGAAGATCCCAGGCAAGAAAATCCTAATTGCTTCCTGGCAATATAGGCATTAATTTAAAAATAGTGAAATGAATCTTGCAAACGCTGAATTAAACTATATCCATAATATTATGTTAAAATAGTGTATGATAAATAGGTTTGTACAATAAGTCCAAACAAGTTTAACCAAAAGATATTTATTGGTCACTATTATGAAGGCTGGAGGGTTAAGGTTAGGGACAGGGTCATTAATGTGGGCCACCTGTCAGGATAACATCAGTAACAGGTCAGTTTGAAATGAAAGACACAATTCAGTTAAATTTTGGGCTCTTTGTTTTTATCCTTGTGTTATCGAAAATGGTATCGAGTATTTTCCTGAGTATCGGTATCGAGTTTAAAATTTTAGTATCGTGACAACCCTAGTTAGCACAGGTGTCCCACAGCAGCAAAGCTGGAGGCAATGGCTCAAACACGCCTCTCCGAACACTCCCTCAAATATCAGCCAGACTTACGTCCCCCCTCTGTTCACTGAACTCCACTGGTTACCTCTGGCTGCCTGTATCAAATCCAAGTCCCTGATGCTAGCCTACAAAGAGCTTAAGGGTCCGGCTCCCATCTACCTGAATCCTCTTGCAAAGGCTTATGTCACAACTGGATCACTCCGGTCATCAGTGGACTGTGGTCCAGCAGAGCCTTCACCAGCTTAAGACCATCCAGACTGTTTAATGTGTCGTTCCAAGATGGAGGAACCAGCTACCAAGCTACAAGAACAGCAGCGTCTCTTTCTACCTTTAGGAAACTCTTGAAGACCCCCCTCTTCAAAGAGCATCTCCTCTCCTAACCCTAACCCGTACCTCTACCCCCCACAGCTCCTATCCTAACCCTAACCCGTACCTCTACCCCCCCACAGCTCCTTCTGTAGTTCCTCTACCTCTATCTCTATCTCATCACTGACTCTGATCAGTGTTTCTCCTCTATATAGCTTATTGTCATAGTGATGATAAATGTAATATTGTGTCTACTCTGTAAGTCGCTTTGGATAAAAGCGTCTGCTAAATACAGAAACATAAACTTAAAGACTTCTGTCCCCGAGATCAGGCTCTAAAAGGTTCTGCAGGACTCCGTGGGGAACCTGTTTCCAGCCTGTGGTGCTGTACAGTGTGGCAGAAAAACTAAACAATCCAAAAGGAAATGTTCTGTCCACTCATATCTGATATTTGGGCAAATGGAGATGGAGGTTTTGGGAAAGGTAGACCTTAGGGATGTCCTGATCCAGCTTTTTGCACTTCTGACCCGATACCGATCCCGGCCTATCTGAGCAAGTGTTAAAGTTTAAAGTTATTTATTCTACTTACTTAGTTGTCACCCTCATGTTGAACAGGGATTTACTCCTATAACAACTAGCCAGTTGGATTAAGTGAGTTTGAATAATATACAGTGGTTGGTAAAGAGACAC